TCATATTATGATACCAGGAGCTGGTATCATAGAACGGCGGCATCAGTAGAATGTCTACAGGCTCCCTCACTTCGTTCGGGCTCACCGGGAGCCTGTTCTCAGGTTAGAATCGGCCTGACCAGTCACATCCGACGCTGTACTAGAGCCAGATCAACTATCACCCAGAGCGCCTATCCATAGAGTCTCTCGAGACTGACGGATGCCCATTACATGAATCTCATAAGGGGCTGTTCAACTCGTGTTACTTACATGGTGTACATGTAATTAGTAAAGAACAGTTTCTTCAGTTATCAATAAGAAAGTTTTGTTCTCAGTAGTCATCCTGCACGGCAAATGTATACCTAAGGGGTAAGACTAAATACCAATTTTGGACACTTATGTCACCGACGTTTTTTCTGCAAGCAGCAAATTGACGCAGGGCATTGATGTGACGCTTTTTTGAAGTAGCCTTAACTCACAGCAGGTGCTCTTGTAATTCATTCAGATCCAAGCCAGTCTGTGCAACGTGTGATGACGTTGACGATGATCCTTACTTCAGCTCATATGCGCATTTTGGAATTCACGAAGAGATGCTGAAGGTGTGAAAATGGATATCATTCATTGCTGATTTTGCTCAGCGGTTGCTTAGAAGGCTCGATACAGTGTTTTCATATGGCTTCAGATATCTATTATCTGGAATGGCTGTTTTGGCGTTTTGGTTTGTAAATAATTTACGTGTGTATCAAGAAATTCATGCAATTTGCTCTTTGTTCTTTTGGCCAGTCATACATAAGACCTGATTACAACATCTTTTTTTGACGACTTTGGAGTCGGTTCGTGTTGATTTGACCAGCAAAAATCTCCAAAGTTCTGGGGGCGGGTGGGTTCGAGTTGACGTTTAATATGCGGCTTTCCTCCAGTTTATGTTTGCATGTAAACGCCGCCATCGGCCCTTTATTTCAGATGAGTTTTATTTGTTAAATCAAGTATGTCTCCGTAATCACTTTGTTAGAGAACGAAAGTGAGTACTTGTATTAACGTAATTTCTCTGTGACTAGGATACCACAAGAACAGAAAGCTACAGGAATTTTATACTCAAGAACCCGGCGATTTTCAAAGATAAGGTACGAGTTCGTAAAATAGCTCTTCTCTAATAACCACATTAGTTTAAAGGCGGATGAACAATTAACGTTATTTGGCCTACAAGTGTCCTATTCACTTTTCTTCTTTTACATGTCTTCTTCTTTTCTCTTTCTTTCTGTATTGTGTCAATGGGATTTTTGCGGGTACCAACTGTAAAACGGAGAGTGCTTCAAAAAGTCTCAGTCCATGCGCTGAGCGAGTGTTTTGGAAAATGTGGGCGCGGGTTTTCTGTTGCCTCATTTATGCCACGCATGTTATTCAGTTCTTGCAGTCATTTCCAGTTTATAACCGGTTTTTTACTCGTTATGAAGGTTGTTTTAGATGTTGGATGTGGAACTGGTATACTGTCCATGTTCGCAGCTAAGGCTGGAGCGAGTCATGTGATCGGTATTGACCAATCAGAGATAATCTACCAAGCCATGGATATTATTAGGTAAGCCTCAGTGTCGTTTCTGCGATAACTGTTGGTCACACACCGTGAAACTAAAAGTTTTAACTAAAGCATTTGTCTCTTAGACAAGGCGAGCTGACTGCTGATGGATAATATCGAAGTTCAACTAAATTGTATAAACGCACACACGGTACTTTATTCCCGTTTTAAACGCTTAATCATTTACACAACGTTGTTATGGCGTAGGACTGCTCAGAGCAGTTAACATTTAACCTGGAATAGAAAGGACTGAAATGTGTCAAATGAATTATCTTAACAATGAGTATGATAGATATGTAGGTAAAGTCTGCGGTTTAAGATTTTCGTGTGATCTATGTAGACCTACATACATGTAAATTTAGCAGGCACTTCCTGAAACGTTTCGCTTCGTCGGAATAAAACTAGAACGCCATGTTGGTAACTAATACGTTTGATGTGGAAATGAATACATTTGGCTTAGTTGATTCACACAATTAACGTTTCGATTCATGTGAAGAAAATCCCCCTTCAATATGCTACCGTATGTTAACAGCTGTACATCATACGAATAGGGCGAACACTATTCTTCTTGTTCGTTGTAGGGAAAATGGACTGGAAAATGTTATCACATTGATAAAAGGAAAAGCAGAGGAAGTCACGTTACCAGTTGACAAGGTAAACCTAAATTAAAATAACTATCTGATTCTCGTAATTGGTTTTAAATAGATTTCTGGTATATTTTAACTGTGGGGAAATCAGTGATAAAAGTACATATACTTGTCAAGAGTTTTCTATGTGACGATTTTACCATTTCGTTTATTCTGACCGTTTCTTGGTCTGTTTATCGTCTTTAGGTAGATGTTATTATATCAGAGTGGATGGTAAGTATTAAAGATTCATTAGCTCCACAGATGTCGCGATGTGAAAAAAAATTCACCTTCTTATGAAGGGTGTAATGAGCTACAAATTCCCACTAACGGATCCGTCTGTTTTTTCCTTACAGGGCTACTTTCTTCTGTTTGAGTCAATGCTAGACACAGTGTTGTTCGCGAGAGACAAATGGCTGAAATCAGCAGGCTGAGGTAAGATTCTTCTGCATTTTGAACGCGTTTGTATATGCAGGAGTAATTAAAAAAAATAATAATAAAAATAATAATAATAAAAAAAACGTGCATGAAGGTACCGAAAGGTGCCGTCGAGATTTTCGTGCGGATGTCGTAGAGTCGGATTTCATTTACAAATTCAAGGTCATGTTCGTAGAAATGCCCGAAGTTTCTTCGATTGTACGAGCGCTTTCGTAAGTTATCGCTCAGTAACCTCTCGCAACTACCTACCCAATGTCAGAATGACGATAACAAAGACAACGACGCCCGCATCTTAATACATGTATATAAGAAGAAGAACAACTATGAAAAGTGCAATTCCCGCATTGAATTCATCACGACTACCGTCTCTTTCATCCTCTGTTCATGACAGTGGCGGATTTGATTCTGATGTCTGTACTCGTGCACCTAACATGCCGACAGCAATTCTATCAAATTTGTTCTCCATCTCTTATGATCTATAGCTAAACATCGGCGTTGGAAATTGGCTTTTATACATGAATTGATTTTCCCTATTTTTTTTTTTTTTTTTGCAGTTTACCCAGATCGATGTACATTATGCCTCGCAGCTTTAGGAAATAGTCAAAAAGTACAACAGAAACTCAGCTTTTGGGATGACGTTTACGGTGAGAACTTGTGTAGAGCTAAGACTGTTTGATTAATGTTTGAAACTTTAGAAATTAAATACGACAGAGAAGTTCATATCTAAACTCATATTCTCTCTTGCTAGGCTTTAAAATGAGCTGCATGAAAAAATCTGTTTGTACAGAACCGTCTGTGGAGATTGTCGACCCGAAAGACGAGATTTCTTCACGATGTACCGTCAAGGTAATGCAAAAAGGCTCTCGTTTAAAATAAACAAACTGAAGTTATGACAGAAAATGAATATAAAAACCATTACTTTCAAAGAAAATTGCTTCCTTGGTAGTAGTTCAAAGAGAAAAAATTTATCAGTTAATTATTGGTATTGCGTTGATAAGGGCAAAATAACCGTCGGCGAAAATTTTGAAAGCCGACACTTCTTGAACGCCGACACACAATTTTTCCACTAGAGCGCTTTGGATATGAGATGGTAGATAGCCAACGAGGTGCGTAGCGCCGATTTGGCTACAATCATCTCATATCCAACTAGCGCGAGTGGAATAATTGATTTATTTAAAGCGCCCCCAAAATATAGTAGAAAACTAAACTAAAATAAAAATAAAAACGGCCTAAAAAATCACGCTTACGCACACCAAATTTGTGGAGCATGGTATAATGGCTCATATACCATGATGGTTTAGCGAATGAAACCTCTTGGATTGCATTATCCAATGATCCACTGTTTAATAGTACCGTGTGGCTCTAAATTTTTGCGGGTTATAATTTTTGCGATTTTTGCGGTTTTTTCCACGATTCGCAAAAAAAGGTGTCGGCAAAAAATTTCTCCACTGGAAAATTATACATACAAACATCACAAGTAGAATCTTGTTGCTGCCATCAGCCACACAAAAGCACGATGTCACTGTGATAGAGTGACACTGATTACTGGGTTACCGTCTTTTACATCCCCACATGTCGTTTCACTTGTCAATTGCATGCAGTTTAATTAAAAAACGCGAAAATGTTGTAGTTTCATTTGAACGCAACTCTTCGAAAATCGCAAAAATTAATACCCAGCAAGAAAAACCAGTCTTTTACAATCGTAAAAATTAGTTCTCGCAAGATACAAAAAAATTGTCGATTCGCAAAAATAAACTCCCCGCAAAAATTTAGTGCCACACGGTAGTTGTTATCTGGGTCTTCGTGGGTGCAGTGCTTCTGTCAATATTTTGATTTGAAATCTTTATTTTACCTATTGAGTTGATTTAATTATTGTTGGCCTTACGCGCCGCGTTACATTAAACAAGAAGTTTATTAAAGACATAGGACAACATGGTATAGCCTTTCACTTTGGTTTTATAGGATTTGGATGTTAATAACTGCGAGCAAGCTCATCTGCAGTTCAAATCACCTTTCAGTGTTGAAATAACGAAAGAGAGTCTGTGCTCAGTAAGTAAGCTCAGGTTTTGCTTTTTACATTTTAAGACAGCCCCTTGAAAAGATTTACTACATTTCTTGTGTTCTTCTACAAGTAACTCACCATAACGGTGTTAGAAGATGAAACATGTTCAATCGACAGTTTACTTTATTCTTTGTTGATTAATTGAACGCTCAGCCTTAGTTGTTACCAATAGATAGCAGTTGTTTATTAACTTGATTTAGTGTTTTAATATATTAACGAAGATAAAGACAGTCGTTCAGGAGCTTCACCATTAAGTACTTGGTCTTATTCGGAACCTGTTGTCAATGTTGGCGGCCATTTTCNTTTGACGCAAAAACTCAGAAGCAGCTCTGCCGTCAGTCTTACCTTCTACAATAATAAAATTTGAATCGACTATCCGTTTTCATATGTGTCTTTTGATCTGCTCATTTTCAACAGCAGATCAGGGTCCGATCAAGTCCGCATCTAGCGGACAATATTTAGAGATTTGCCTTGGTCTTACTGTAGAAATTTGGTTCATGTACAGGCTGTTTATCACTTCAGTCTGTATCAAAACAAGGAAACTGAACATAATTGTACAGACATTCTTTACATAATTATATAAATTACAGTGATGTGATGTTCTAGGTGATTTTATCTTTTAGTGGTCGGCTATGTCTCCACAATAGCTCATTTCTTGAACCACTGTCATCAAATTTGTAATCGTCATTCCCTTCATCATCTCCACTGCTTTCTTTAAATTTTCTCGTTGTCTTTTTCTTGTGGTTCACATTCTTTTTCTTCACAGAAGATTTCTTTTTTGGTTTTGATTCTGGTTCCATCACTTCTTTCCAGTTTGCTTTTACGTTAATCTGGCCATTCCATTTGGCCTCTACGTGTAGAACCTTGTTTGGAATTCGTGGATGCTTTAGAACTATCGTCTTAGTACCCTGTTCTGGATGTATAATCTTTTTCTTTGTAGACTTTTGCTCTTTTTCAGAAAGGGTCTTATTTGCAATTTGAAAGGCTACATTCTTTGTGCTTTTCATTTTGTTTTCCACGGGCGTATTGTTTGAAGGTATATTGTTTGTTCCAAAGACTTCGTCCACATCTTCTGTAACTAGTGCAGGATTTATCTTAAACGGAATACCTTCGAAAGCTGTTTGATTTTCTTGACTCGTAACTTTCTGTTCTGTTTTAGTTTTGATGCTAGCGTTCGCTTGAGTCTTTGTTTCTTCCTGTGAGAGGGAGACAATGTCGCCATCAGTGCTTTCCGTTTCATTTAAATCTAAATGTGGTTTAATCCATGATGACTCGCTTTTCTTCTTGGAAAGTTTCTTTTTCTTGTCATGGCTTTCTTTTACTATAAAATGCACGAACGTTCGCTTGTTGGACTGCTTGTCTGACATTAATTCCTTGTGTGATGGCTGTAGTTGCTTGCTCCCATTTTGTTGATTATCTGAGGAAACTGGATTACTCTTCAATCTGTGTTTTTTCCGTTTGTCAGCTATTGGAATAAACGATGGCAGGCTGGGAATTTTGGTGCCGTCTGCAGTTTGCACCTTAACAACCGCCTTTGTTGCATATCTCGTGGATTCTTGAGTATCAGTGCTAAAAATATTGTTTTGTGGAGTTGATTGAATCAATACTTTTCCATTGACTGGTCCCGAAGATAAGACCTTAGGGTCCATTGTCATAGAAACGCTTTGTTCAGAAGTATTGTTTTCGGGCCCTTTCGTCGCAGCGCCGTTTCTACTCGAAGTGATAGGTCTGGCGTCATCTTCTAGAACAACGTCTTCATGTTTGTTCCTTACTTTTGGAGCAGTGCTATTTCCTTTTTTACTCCAGTTCTTGTAGTTAGAGCTCTTGACATGTACTCTTTTGAACCCTGGATCATGCTTTTTCTCGCTTGCCAGTTTAGAACTTTCCAAATGTACCTGTAGACTTTTCTCTGCACCCAAGGGTTTCATGTCGCTGAGTTTGGTTCTGTTGTTGTCGTGAGCAATGATTTTGTCGGCAATTTTTTTGACAATTTCTGGAGTCATGTCGTCGAGTACCTTTCTCAATTCTTGATAACTTAGAGCTGGTTTCATCTTTTGGTCCTTGCTGTTGTCTCGTGACTTGTATGGTTGACGCCACCTTGACAGTGTTTGAAGTATCTTTGTTAGCTTTCCGTAATCTTGTATTGGCAATGGTCTTCCTTTACTTTGGTCATCTTTGTTTTTCAACTGTGTTGTCTTCGGTTTGTTCTTTGCAGGTTTGTCTTTACTTTTGGACACTTTGGGTTTGGCTTTTTGTAAGAGGACCTTGTGAAACGGCTGTAACGGTTTTTTCAGACTTACAGGTCTTTGTTTTCGTCCTGATTTTTCAATCCATTGAGAGTTTGTTGGGGTGTTTTTGGTGAAGGTTATCTGTTGGGTCCTCGCATCAGCTGAAGAAAAGATAAACAAAGGTCAGGCACATCTCAATGCTATTCAGGACTCGACTTTGGGCTGCACTAATACAAGATATTAAGTCACAGTGTTTTCACGGTAGCCGGCGACTGTGTGACCCCGTAAAATCCATGATGGCGGCACGCGGAAAGAACTGCCGATGCTTCTTTCACATTCTTTGTAATATTTTGCCATCACTTTGAATTTTTAAATGATGGAAAGTTAAACATTGAAAACCCAATTAGCTTTGTCTCGAGCCTTTCGGTTTCCAAGAAATTTTACATATAGAATAATCATCTTCAAAAAGTTAAAAAAAAAAGGCATTTGTTCTAGTGCAGCAAGGAACCTCCATTAAAAATCAGGTTTTTCTTCGAGAATGCTGCCAGGCGAGTAGCTCAGATAACATAAACTGAGGAACGAGATGGGCTAGGGTATACTTGGTGCAATATCCTTGAGAAGTCAAGCTCACCTGCTGAAAGATTACTGTTTAGTACTTACTTGGTGGTGCCACGTATGGAATTGCTTGGCCAATACCTGAAAAATAAAGCAGTCAAGAGATAAACTTATATTATGGACGGATAAAAAAGCAAGGTGGATTGCAAGTAGACTCGTGGTGAACCGCCAAAAGGATGCGATATTCAGCCATAAGTTACAACTCTTTGTGGTCACAGCTGAATACTACATGTAGACCCTCCATTAAGAGGGCATTGTAACTTTTCCTCCTAAGAGGAGACTCGTGACACCTACGGTGCCTCCCTACAACAGGTTCGAGTATAACTGTAACCAAGTCTACAATGCTGGACTCTTGGAAACAATGTTCGCTTGTCAACATAAGAAAAGGAGGTAATATATCAAACACCCAAGACCGTGTCTGATCACATTTCCAAACACCGAGAAGAGTTTGGAAATGTGGTCAAACACTGCCTTGAGTGTTTGATATATCTTCTCAATCGAAACTAAAACTAAGGAGAAAACGAAGAAATAAAATCGTAAAAATCTATGCTAATTAAGATCAGATATCCAAAGACAGTCACGGTCATGATTTTCTTTGTTTAAACTTGATGAATTATGAATGAGTTTGAGAAAAATTCTGTGAGACTGCCAGCTGACCTGTGTAGTACAAAGAGTTCATCATCACTCCTCCACATATTTCCTGGTAGTTTCCAGTACAGCGCATTGTACATTGGTCATTCAGGAGCCTGCCGTACTTGCTGTACGTCGTACCGCAAAAGCATTGTGTGGAGGACTGGAGACCAGCTATGGAGAAGCCCGATTCACCACACTTTGAGACGCAGCCCTCTACGGTCAGCGGCCTCACTTGAACTGCCGTAGGAAGGTCACGTGATTCTGAATCTTGATAGCAACCCAAGAATCTGGGTGCACCTAAAGCCGAGACAAAAAAGGCCCGGGTTAGGTAGCCGTAGTTACATTCCTCTTTGCGCACGAAAACTCCTCGTCTTTAATTAGCTTACCCTCGCGCGACATGACATGAGCGTCTACGCGAGTAACCTGAGATAATAAGTTAAACTGGCTGAAATTCAATGTTGTCTTACTTGAATAAAAATGACTACAATGGAAGTAAAGTAAAGGAAGTATACGTAGTACGACGTTTGTTTAAGTAATTTACAAGTACGCATGTCATATCAGTAGTCCATTGTTTCTGACTACTTTTTTACACAATTTCCGATGGGTTTCGTTTCATTGACTTATCAAACACTAAAACTTTAGCACATACTTGAGGAGGAAGAGTTACCACGAGAGCATGCGTGCATGCCTTGTCACTACCAACCTCAAGTTACTTAAAAAGATTTCAGGGATATTTCGAAAGATATAAAGCAAAACATAATGAAGTAATGTCAGGGGCAGGACCGACCTCGCATTGTAAGCAAATCATCCGAGTACTCGTTTCAATTTTTTTGGGATCTAATTAAATTCTGAACGTCACCTCACCTGGTAAGTAACCCTTAATCGAGAAAGCTAAATTGTTTGCAAATTTCTGTTCCTGTTCATAGTCGTACCTAATTTGGATGTTCCATGGATTTCTTTGAATAATGTCCAACTGACTTTTTTCAACAAACCTTAACAGGGAGAAAGCATGCATTTCTTACAACGTGCAGTTATATTGTTAGTATTTCCTTGACCACTCCTTAACAACAACAAACCTTAACAGGGAGGAGAAAGCATGCAGTTCTTATAACGTGCAATTATATTGCATGTGTGGTCTTAACCACGCCTTGACAACAACAAACCTTAACGGGGAGAAAGCATGCATTTCTTAAAACATGCAATTATATTGTTAGTATTTTCTAAACCACTCCTTGACAACAACAAGCCTTAACAGGGAGGAGAAAGCATGCAGTTCTTACAAAGTGCAATTATATTGTTTGTATGGTCTTAAACACTCACCAGCTAAGCACTAATTTTTATGCTCTAAGTCCTTTTTATGCTCTAAACCCACAACTCCAATTTATGAAAGTTCATTTTCATTGATGTTTTGTATGATTAATTGAAGGAAATCAGAGAACTATAACATATCCTTCCGTGTTGTTCATAGGTCTTACCCATTAACTTAGCTTTTTCCTGGGGTGAAGGTCTTGGAGCAGGTCTCCTTTGATAAACACCTTGATAACCTGAGAGGAAAATTCACGGAATTGTCAATGGAAGCGAGCAGTTTTGACTTCAGTCAGCGGATCACCGAGTTCATATCTATTCTCTAGCTTTTTGTAAAGACTTCAAGATTGAAGTAATTCATAAAGGTTTTGATTACTTTAAACATGGTCTAATTGTTAATTAGAGGCGAGAACCCCGAATATTGTCATAAATAATTCTCGAAGACGGAATTCTGACCGAGAAATTAGAGTGAGTACATGTTCCTCTCGCTGGCGTGTTTAATTTGGCAGGCAGATATAATTTCCCCCGAAATCTGTAAGTGAGCTAATTCGACGCGTTAATTTGGAGGAATATGATGCTCTGAGACAACTTTGTTAGGTCCACCGCTTTTGAAAGGTGTACCTTGTCCCAGCACTTGTGTTTGAGGGTGACGAGTCAGTAAAGATAGTGTATGAGTAATAAAGTCTACACAATCTGCCTTGCAACGGTATTTAGATTTTCATAAACTTGCTTCTTTGGAGTGATACTTCTTATCAGTAGTAACGTTTCTCCGCTTACCATTATATGGTCTGTTTGCAGCGCTGTTTTGAAAGTTGTAATTTCTGTACTTGTAGCTGTTGTAGTTGTAATTGTACGGCCAGCGATTGACTTGACTCTGATAAGCACCATATGCACTTGGCTGGGTGTTTGTAGCTAAGGTGAAACACAAAACAAACAAGAGAACAATACTGAATCATTTTGTACGAAAACGTAACTCAATCCTCCGTATGGAAAAAAAAAAAGGCGGCTGTACATTTTACCTTGACACCATGCGAGCCTTACCCAACCCATAATGTATGAACGAATTTTGTGCACGCTAGGTTTGAAAGTAACAGAACTTTTCTGTACGTTTTTTTGAGAGTTGTCGTGGTCTAAGAAAAATCAGTCGCCATCTTTTTTCCTTCGGAGGTTTTCCGATTACGTGAAATTCCAGGCGAGCTACACTGTAAGCATACGGATCGAGGAGAACTTTACATTCTTAAAAAGCTGTTTTGTAAGACCTCTTAAAGGAAGATTTTTTAAACCATAATTTTTATCCTATTTGCTTTAATGTGTGTAAGAGTCGTATGTTAAGTTCACGGTAAAAATCTATGAACTAACCTATTTGGAAATTATATCTTGAGGAAGGCTGTTGAAGCCGATTGTAGTTTGTCCTGTCTGAAAAAATGGAGGAGCGTCGTTAATCTTTAGCCACTGCGATGTCAAGTATAAATAATATCGAGGACAGAGGAGATATATATATACTTACATGGTTTTGCACCATAATAACGTTGATAACCCTGATATCTATTTTGAGGGTAGATCAGTTTAGCTGGAAAAAACAAAATACGATGAGAGTTTAATGCTGCCTCTATATGACTGGCTAAAAATTCAGTCCTTAAATCAAGTGAACTGAACGCTGCTAAAATTATGTTTCGTCATTACAATTTTGAGACCTTGACAAAAGCAACATGGAACCCGCTATGAGGAAATAAGCAGTTATATATGCGCTATTTTTAATTCTTTAACGTTGCTCATGTGAAGACTATTCGATTCTCGATTGCCCCTTATGAAAACAAATATTCGGACTAGTTCCTCAACCAAAAAAGTCACATCATCATTTTTTCCCAGTAACTCTTTTAAATCGTAACATCTGAGAAATTGCAAGAGGTATGTATAGCATCTAATTGACAAACTTGTATAATTATGGGAAACCAAACGGTGCAGTAGTTTACCTTGGTAGGTCGAGGGATAACTTCTCAATCCACCTGTCCGTTGTAGTTGGAATGGTACAATGTTAGTGTTCCCTATGGGTAGAAAACAAATTAGTATAAATTAATTCTTAAAATCTTTTTCAATTTTCCAGCTAACTTAGATTGGTCCTTCGTCCAATGTAAAGTACGCTTCAGTCCCGACAGGACATCAATACCTTAATTTGTCAGTTTGTGCAGTGCTAAGCAGAAAGGAATATTACTGCTCCTTTTTGTCGAGCTATTTCTTATAAATTCGAAACATCTCAGACGGGTATCCTTACCTCTCCATGGCCATGGACTAGCGTAAGTCTGGTACCAGGGGGAACCACGTGTTGATCCAGGCATATGTCGTGGAGGGTATTTTGAACGAGCTATGGGTGGGAGAAAAGCAGCGTAAACTTAATACAATCTCAAACCTTTTGAGACTATGTGCGAAATCGATGTTTTCAACTAAGGCCTGGCTCATACTAACGACATAACCGCTTAATTGCGTCATGTTCATGCTTTTACGTCTCTTTTATGTTGCATTATATCAGGATGTCCACCCCATTTTATCAGGATGTCCACCCCATTGTATCAGAATGTCCACCCCGCGAACACAACAGTATAACGTTCCCCGCGAACACAACGACATAGTGTCTTTATGCTTATGTCCTTATGTCATGACCAATTTAGCATGTTGCATTAATTTCGGGAACTCAGTAAAACTCCTGCAAGAGCAACCTCTAACAAAATACAATTTACTTGGTCAAGACGTCCTGGAAAAACGCTGTTTATAGCGACAAGCTAAGACAAATACCGTGCACGAGTAGCTCCCATGGGATCGGATCATTTGAAGGAATAAAATGCTTCTGTATTCCTGGATGAAAAAAAAAAAAGAAAGAAATAGAGTTAATATACAAGTGATTTTAGAATAACTAGCTTAAATGCAAATTATCTAGTATGACGTACTTATTAAGATCAGACTGAGTTGTACTTCAAAGAGCAGATTAATGCTAGGACTAACAATCACATGGTAAGAAATGTATATGGCTTCTGTTTAATTTCGCGAAAAATATGTGTCAGTGTTTGAAAATGTTTGAAAAAGCTATTTAAATTAATGCACAGAGAAATGCCTTGGCTGCTTGACTTCTGTTATAAAAGCGCTCGTAATTGTTTCGTACCAGGGAGTGTTCCAGTCGTAGAGTCCACAATGCCTGAAAGATAGAAGTGATGGAAACAATCGTTACAGTGCTGTTAAAGGAACCACTCAGTGTAATATGAAGATTTGCCTAGAATTGTTTCTAATGCTCTATATGAAAGGAGTAACGTAACGGTTTACGTATCTTGAAAAGTTTAGCCTGGTAACCTTCTCCATCCTTCAGCATCCTTGTTCCTTCATAGTTTATTGCAATCTCTTTGGCTTTTTTCTATCTTACTTAACCATTATTTTCAGGTTTCCTTCAATTTAAAGGTAGTTTTGTACGTATTGTCAAGTTAAAATGGCGTTGAGCTCCTTGACGATGGAGGATGGAAATGTTTCTCAGTACGGTTAATATGGAGTCGAAACTTGGGTGACTGACAGAGGAAGAAGCTGTTTACAAAACGTTTCAGTCCTACCCGTCCAATATTGCGAAAAGGTCATAAATCCACCGCAAACTTCAAAAGAGTTATCGTAGCAAGGCATGTCGCATTCTTTATCTGCCACCTGATTGGACTTCCTGTACGCATTTCCACAGAAACACAGATCTGAGTTGCGCAAGGCTCCAACGCTAAAGCCCTGGGACTTGCACGTGTCCACGCATGCGCCGATAGTAGCTGGGTGAGTGGGAATATACACCTGAAGATCTCTGGGTAGGTTGTCACGGAAACAGCCCAAGTATGCAGGCTCATCTATAGCGCAATAGAAAGCGAAGGTAATTTCATTCCGCATTCATATGAATTATCCATAATATCATGGGTGACAAATTACTACTTGATTCTGGCGAGAAATTTCAGCGTTAATTTATAAT